TGCAGGGGAACGAACCCCCTCCCCCCCCCCCATAAATGTCTGGGAAGGTTTCAGCGACGAATCCGCAGTAAAACAATACAAATTGTCCGGAATGTTCTCTCCTAGGGAAGCATTTCTGGCATTCCGGTGAAAACCTGCCTCTCCTTCAGTGTCCTTACCTACTATTTTTCTTTGGAGACCTCATGCGCATCTGTCTGGAGACGCCCAGGCCTGAGTGAGTTAGAAAGCCTCTGCCTGGTTTTCCTGCCTCACTGTGACCCCATTAGTCCCTTAAAGGACCCCTTGGGTGAGGTCAGCCTTCTGAGGCAGCCTCATGGAGCTGAGATACTGAACTGTAGCTGGGGCCATCCTCTGAAGCCTCAGTTTCCCCGTAAGGGGGGGGGGTAATAGCACCTCCCACTAGGGCTGCACTCCTTTGCCCCACATCCACCCTTTACCTTTCGTGGCTGCTAGTCTGTGTGACTTTTCTCAGCGCCATCATGAGAGCATTCTGGATCTTTCCAGGGAGATGGTAAACCCAATATACTGAATTCTGCTCTCCCCATCCCAACGGCCTCTGCACATTCTTGATGACTAATTGACAGCTGCTTGACTGAGAGTCACTGGCTTTAAGGTGGCCAGAGAGTTTTGGAACCAAGAAAGGCCTTGAGAAATTCTAATTTAACCCTCTCTGAGCAGCTGGGACCATGAGAGCTGGTATACGTTAAGCACATGCTGAATGCTGGCCCCATTCTAAGTGCTTGAAAGGATTAATTAATTTAATATTCACAATCATACTTGATAGTCACAATAGCCCCTCTGAGGCTCATTCCCATTTGATAGATGGGGAAATTAAAGCCCAAATGAGGTTAAGTCAAATGCCCAGGGTCACATAGCTAGTGAATGGCAGAACTGGGGATTGAACACAGGTAGTCTGTCACCCCCCCCTCCCCGACCCCAGCAGGGATGTCCCCTGCCTCTGACTCCTCTCACAGGTCCTCCCATCCTGGAGAGTAAATACTGATTGAGTTCCTTGCAGTAATAGCTCAGGCTGACTGAGCGTTACATGCCAGGCATATTCTAAGCACTTCACACCCTCTCTCTTGTTTGATGCAATGACCCTGGGAAGTGAAAACTATTATTACTTCAATTTAACAGGCAAGGAAACTGAGGTCCAGAGAGAATCCAAGGCCATGCAGCAAGTCAGCTGGAATCAGAACCAGCCTCAGGCCACCTGCTCTTGAAACTGATGTTTTAAAAAATTACCTAGAGTATTCGTTATAGTTTCATTAATGAGCTTTTCATGACTAGGCACTGTGCTGGCTGCTAAGGCCACCAAATTGAAAGTGACAGAATCCCATGCCTCTCTGGAAGGTCATGGCCATGTGAAAATGCCAACTCTGGCTTTCATAGAGGAGCCCAGAATCTGTATTTTTGTGTGAAATCCCCTGTCTTTCAAATTTTGGCAATGAACTTAAATTTAAAATGCTGCAACCATGGTAGAATAGCTCTGATGACTGGTTTAACCTGGGGGGCTGCCCGGCCATGACCTTTAGTTAAGAAGAGAAGACAATTATATGAACAAATCCTTGTGACATGAGTGGATATGGGACCCTAAGGAGCACTCCTAACCCTGGTTAGGTGGAAGGGCGTTGGGGAGGAGATTCTAGGAGAGCCCTGAAGAATAGGTAGGGATTTATGAGGTGCACAGAGAGGAAAGGGCATTCTGGGTAGATGGAGCAGCACATACGAAGGCATGGAGTTGTGGGAAGGGAGTACACTGAGCATTTGTAGAATGGCAGGTGATGCTCTTTGCTTGGGTGGGAGATTGGTAAGAAATAGGTCTGAACCAAGCACCTGCTTGGAACTAAGTACACAGCAGAAGAGAGCGAGGCAAGGCCTGGCATGAAACCTTCTTGGAGGAATTCATTCAACACATATTTTATTGAGCACTTACTAAGCACCATGGACAGAACTGCCATCTGTTCTCAGGGCACTTCCAGCCTCGTGAGGAGTCAGATAATCAAGCGATGGCGACCTATGACTGCTTGTGAGTGCTGAGCAGGAAAAGACTTGTTGCATTAAGATTGAATATCCTATGCTGTGGTCCCTGGGCCAGCGGCATCAGCATCACAGTGACTTGTTAGAAATGCACATTCTCAGGCCCCACCCCAGATAACTGGACACTGGGGGTGGGGACCACAATCTATGTTAAACCTTTCTGGCAATTCTGATGCATCCTCGTGTTTAAGAACCACTGCTGTTAGGTCCTTGCAGGGCCCACCTTTATCCACTTTCTCTGCTTGTTTTACTGTGTCTCAGTCTCCCCAACTCCTTCCTACCTCAGGGCCTTTGCACTTACTGTTGTCAACATGGCTGCATGACACTTTCCCTCACGACCTTCTATTCTCTGTCCAAATGCCATCTCCTTGGAGAGGCCTCCTAAGCACTCAATTTAAAGAATCACCCCCAATCTGTCAGTCTCAATCTCCTTGTTTTACTTTATTTTCTTCATAGCACTCACCACTACTTGACATTATATTCCATGTTTATCTGTTTACTTGAATAGTATCTGTCTCTCTCCACTACATGGTTAGCTTCATGAGAACAGGGGCTTGATTTCTTTTGTCCTCCCAGCATTTAGGACAGTACCCAGCACCGTGAGACACTCAGTAAATATTTTTGAATGAATGAATGAAATCTCGTAGGGTCATTCATTGAACAAGCATGGATTCCAGAGCACCAGGTCTCGTGCAGGTTAAGGGCTTATTGCGGGAAGAGGTGCCGTGGCCATTCAGATGGGGGCAGCCTCCATCCCCCTCCCTGACACAGCCAGCCCCATACCCATAGAACCTCCAGACCCTCCAGAACCTCAGACCTGTAAGCTCTGTGGAGGAGGAGAGGTTAACAGCGCTGCTCCCCAAAGCCGGGGACTGGACTGTTTGGGCTGATTAGGAAGTGAGGGCTTTGAGTGAGAAGGAAGCAGAGAGGCAGCTGCTGACAAGTTGTTCCCAGGGACTGTTCAGTCATCCTGGGGTCGAATGCTTCCTGCTGGTACTGACAAGCAGCGTGCATCTGGGCTGCAGCTCGGCGCCAGGGACAGCCGTAATATTCCACACCGAGGACCTGGGCTCATTGCGCCTGCTGCAGGCACAAGGCCCTCCGCCATTGCTCCAGGGGCTGCTCCCCGGAGCCCCATCACTTGTGGGGTGTGCTAGCAGATTTGTTGGACACACCACAAT